GAGAGAGAGAGAGAGAGAGAGAGAGAGAGAGAGAGAGAGAGAGAGAGAGAGAGAGAGAGAGAGAGAGCATCCGCACAGAATGCCGATGGGTGAGGGCGCGTTCTGCGGGACGAGCAGGAGGAGTGGGAGGAGGAAGGGGGGAAGAGCAGGAGGAACAGCGGGAGGAGGAGGAGGAAGAGTTGTCAGGGCAGGGAGGTCGCAATCAGGGGAACTAAAGGTCGGGATGTAGAAATGGGATCGGAGAGGGAAGTCGGGATCAGGAGACAGAGGCGGGGATCGATGGGGGGAAGAGAGAAGGAAGCCGGGATGGGGAGGGAAGTCGTCGGACGAAGGTCGGGGGAGGGAGGTCGGAGGAGGGAGTCAGGATCKAGGGAGAGAGGTGGGGATCGGTGGAGGGAAACCGGGATCGGGGGAGAGGTGGGGATTGGGAAGTAGGGGGAGGGACGCAGGGATCCGGAAGGAAGTCGGCGAAGGGAGGTCAGTGGAGCGAGGTAGGCAAAGGGAAGTCGGAGTAGGGACGTTGGAGTAGGGACTCGGAGTAGGGAGGTCGGGGGTGGGATGGGAGTCGGGATGGGAAGGGAAGTCGTGGAAGGGGGGTCAGTGCAGGGAGGGAAGTCGGGATGGGAAGTGGGGTCGGGGGAGGGGGGTCGGGGAATGGAGGTCTGCGGAAGGAAGTCAGGACAGGGAAGTCGGGATAAGGAAGTCGGGGCAGGGAAGTCGGGGCAGGGAAGTCGAGATGGGGAGGGAAGTCGGGGGAGGGAGGTCGGCAGAGAGAAGTCGGTGGAAAGAAGTCGGGGCAATAAGGGGGATAGGGGACATGGCGGGGTCGAATCGGGGGGAGCGAGGGGGGAAAAGGAGGTGGCGTGGCGGTGTATATTTCCATCACAAAAAAAAAAGAAGAAAGAAAGAAGTGTGGCGGTGTATATTTCCATGTTCTAGCGGGAGACCGACATTTGTTCGATTTTGCTCATCCTATCGATGGAAGTACCCTCTCTCTCTCGCTCACACACACACACACACACACACACACATACTTGTAGCAGGAGCCGGAGCTGGAGGAGGACCAGGGGCGGGAGGAGGAAGAGCGGGAGGAGCAGCAGGAGGGGGAGCGAGAGAAGGACAATCCATCATCTGTTGTTGTTAAGGGTTGTGAAACGGACGAGAGAGAGAGAGAGAGAGAGAGAGAGAGAGAGAGAGAGA